TATATCTCAACTTGAATAATGGGAGAAAAATTAGAGTTGACCTCTGCGCCTATGGGATGGGGACAAAGAAAGAATTGCCAAATTCCTGCCCGTAACCATTATCCAGATCTACTTATTGGAAAATGCATTTGTGTCTGAATACAGAATCAGGGCTCAGTAGTGATGTAAATGCAGTTAAATAGCTGGTCAAAGTCCTTCAGTCTTACATATGAGGAATGATCACTTCAAAGAGTTACTAGAAGGCATATTATGTCTGTGGAGCTTAATCTGAGGAAGAAGCAGTACCTTTCAAAAGGAAAAGCAGAAGCAAAGAAACTTGATAAAATAGAAGGAAAGAACACACAAAAATATTACTTTAAAAAAAAATTTCACAGCTTGTGTACATTGCTGACTAGGCCAGTATTTGTTGCCATCCAGTTGCTCTTTAGAAGGTGGTGGTGAGCTGCCTTTTTCAACTGATGCAGTCGTTGGGGTGTATGGGCATCCACAGTGCTTGTGGAAGGGAGTTCTAGGATTTTGACCCAGTGGCCATAAAGAAATGGTGATGTATTTCCAAGTCAGGATGGTGTGTAGCTTGAATGGGAGCTTGCAGGTGATGGTGTTCCAATGCATCTGCTACCCTTGTCCTTCTAGGTGGTAGAGGTCACTAGTTGGAATGTGCTGTTAGAGGAACCTCTTGTAGATCTTGTGAATCTTGTAGATACTACACATTGTTGCATCAGTGGTGAATATTGAAGGTGGTGGAGGAGGTGCCAGCCAAGGGAGCTGCTTTGTTCTGGATGATTTCAAGTTTCTTGAGTATTACTGGAGCTTGTCCAGGCCAGCGGAGATTATTCCATCTCAATCCTGACTTTTGCTTTGTAGATGATGGACAGGCAATGGAAGGACTCGAGGTAAGTTACTCACAACAGAATTCCTAGCCTCGAACCTGCTCATGTGCCACAGTATTCATGATGCCAATGACCATTCCTAGTCAATGGTAACACCCAGAGTGGTGTAAGAGGAAGATTCAGCGATGATAATGTTATTGAATGTCAAAAGGCAATAGTTAAATTCTGCCTTGATGGAGATGACAATTGACTGGCATTCATGTGGCACAAATGTTACTTGACACTTAGGAGCACAAACCTGGATATTGTTCAGTTCACAGACTGCTTTGGTATCTGAGGAATCATGAATGGTACTGAACATTGTGCAATCATTAGTGAACATCCCTACTTCTGACCTTAGAATGGAGGGAAGTCATTAATGAAGCAGCTGAAGATGGTTGGGCCTAGGACACTACCCTGAGGAACTCCTGTAATGATGATGTGGGCTGAGAAGATTGACCTGCAACAACCAGGTATGTGCTAGGTATGACTCCAAGTAGCGGGGAATTTTCTGTCCGATTCACATTGACTTCAGTTTTACTAGGGTTCAATGATGCCATACCTAGTCAAATGGCGCCTTAAGGTCAAGGGCAATCAGTCTCACCTCTGGCATTCAACTCTTCAAGTATGGAACAAGGCTATAATGAGGTCAGGAGTGAGTGGCCTGGCAAATCCAAACGGAAAGTCAGTGAGCAGATTATTCTTTTGCAGATGCCACTTAATAGCACTGTCACAACTCTTTCCATCATTTTCCTGATGATCAAGAGTGGCCAAGTTGGATTTGTCCTGTTTTGTGCGCAGGACTTATGTAGGCAAGTTTCCTTATTGTCAGTGAGTTGCAGTGTTTGTAGCTGTACAGAAACAGCTTGGCAAGGGGCACAGTTAGTTCTGAAGCAGAAACCTTAGTGCTTTTGCTAAAATGTTGTTAGGGCACATAGTCTTTGCATTATTCAGTGACTCAGCCTTTTCTTGATGTTACATGGAATGGATCAAATTCATTAAAGATTGATTTTGGGGAGCTTTCGAGGAGGTCAAGATATATCATCTCATTTTGGCTTAACATGGATACAAATGCTTCTTCAGCTTTGTCTTGTGCTGGGCTCTCTGTCATCATTGAGGATGCAGATCTTTGTTGATGGAGCCTCCATCTCCTGTTAATAGTTTATTTGTTCACCACCATTGACAACTGGATGTGGCAGGATTGCAGAACTTCGATCTGATGTGTTTGGTGTGGATTCGATTGGCCCTATTTATTGCATGCTGTTTCTGCTATGTGGCATGCAAGTAGTCCTGTATTGTAACTTCACCGGGTTGACCCCTCATCTTTATGTATGTCTGCTGCTGCTACTGCTTTTCCCTACTGCATTCTTCAGTGAAGAAGAACTGATCTTTCAGCTTGCTGGTAATGGTAGAATGGGGTAGCTGCGAATTGGAGCTGCACTTATCAGGCAAATGGTGAATATTCCAGCACATTTCTGACTTGTGCCTTGTAGATGGTTGAGCAGACCTTAGGAAGTCAGGGAATAAGTTATTCACTGCAGAATCCTTAGTCTCTGAACTGCTCTTGTAGACACCGTATTTATATGACTGGTTTAGTTCATTTTCTGGTGCATGGTAACATTCCAGGATGTTGGAAATGAAATTAAGTGATGGCCATACCATTGAACGTCAAGGGACTATTGTCAGATTCTCCCAGTTGGAGACAGTGTCAGACAATAAATATCTGCTGGAAATGTTACTTGTCAGCTATCAACACAAAATTATCTAGATCCTGCTATATGTGGACATGAATTGTTTTAGTATCTGAGGAGTTGTGAATGGTACTGAACATTACACAGTTGCCCACTTCTGATCTAATGGAGGGAGGGTAATTGATGAAGCAACTGAGGATGATTGGCTCTTGGAAACTGCCCTGAGGGGCTTCTGCACCAGTGTCCTGAGACTGAGATAATATTGACCTCCGACTACTGTAACCATTTTCTTTAAGCTAGATGTAACGCCAACCAATGGAGTATTGTAGATTGAAATACTGTGAGTGAAATCAAATAAAGTTGATTTACTATTTCTTAAAGCTGTTGAGAGTTAATCAGAGCTGCTTTTCATCAAACTTCGCTTATTAATCCATGCTTTTTTTTTGTTATGGAAGATTGGAGAGAAGCTGCAAAACGGGAGAAATTTGCAGATGCTGTGATCATAGCAACTCCAGACAGGCATCATAAGGTACACAGAAAAGCAATTTCCATGTTTGATATGAATTAGCATGGGCAACAGATTAAACAAACAAAAATGTCAGGAGGAGTGAAGTACAAGGTAAGCTTATAACGTCAAAGTGGCTCTGGGAAAACCAACGTTGAGTACACAAATATCCCAATTTTAATCAGAAATTTGGGGATGGTTGAAATGGGCTTTATTGAACCAGTAAGAAATGACACTAAAATAATGCCATAAGTTGAGTCTAGATGAATAATTATAAGAATTTGGTTGCGACGTTTAAAATACATATTATGTGTGCCAGAATAATGAGTAGTTGGGAGTGAATTATTATTTACACATTTGAAATCAAACAGAACTGTTCAATGCACACAAACCCATATAGATTAGAATATCCCAAGGTACAATTCTCAATCTGTGCTGAGTTTGCTGATCTGAGGCAGTGTTTTATAAGGGTGATAATATTTAGCCTAGGCTTTTCAGGGTGAGAAAGAGGAGAAGAATCACCAGAGAATCAAGCCTCTATAATGTTATTCAGTGACACCTACAGGGTGTACTCATGCCTACACATCGACTGATGATCAAATAGCTTGTTGACGTTCATTATCTCAATTTGTTAGAATAGCAGAGAGGTGAATTTGATGTTTGCATTAAGAGTTTTCACATTAACAGTATTTTAAATAAAAGTAGATCTGTGTGGATGATGGGGTGTACTTTCCTTAGCATTGTGTAGCTGGCAGCATCAGCTGTAAGTGACATTTTCTTGCTTAATTCTATTGATAACTCAGGTACACAGTGTAACCTAGGAATAGGCCAATATTTCCATTACCAAGAACTACCAAATCCATAGGCTGGCATTTTTCAACCTTCACGCATAATTTGTACATGACTGGGTCAAATATTGATTGCAAGTGTTGAATGTTTTCCATTGCTATTGGTGATTATATTCAGGAAGTTGTGTCGGATATCAAGGAATCAGTGGAACAGCTTGATTTTTGTGTACGTTATTCCCATGGGCGTAGCCAATGAGCACCAGGAGGTGGTTTCAGCCACAGTGGGACACTACCTAATGTCTGCATTTGTACAGCTTTGGCAAGAGTCAATAAATACTACTCAGGTGGAGAGAATGACTCCCTGGTAGATAGTCTCCTTTCTAACCCTTAAAAACTGAATATGTGGCATTGTTATTGTAATTCTGTTGGCCATCAGCTCACTTCATTCAAACTAGAAATCGTTTGAGGCCTGTACGGCTCTTACTAACCCATTGTTTTAACCAGCTGAGCCATCGTGAAGAGTAAATGTACGTGCATTAATGTCAAAGTGATTGGAATGCCTGTGCCTCTGGTCAGGAATATGTTGAACTCTTTGTTGATGACAGGATGATTAGATTATGTTTTTATTCTCCTGGATTGTCCTTATTGTTTCAACCGTTTAACGACAAATACAATTATATTTAATATCTAAAATACTTAATTTATAAAACACACAAGCTGTATTATTATTTATAAAGTGGTACCAGTTAATTCTACTAGCAGATTTTAGTTTATTTGCTAACATATTATATTTAAATCTACAGGACCCAACAGTGGCATTTGCAAAGAAGGGCTACCACATCCTACTGGAGAAACCCATGGCAGTAGGTTGTCATTATTAATGCTGACAAGAGATTATAACATAACAAAGTATAGTTGCATTAGATGCAGAAGATACATTTATCAGTTTTATAGTAAGAATTCAAATATAAGTTTGAATTTATATAAATGGGGAATTTAAAAGTGATAGGTTGTATCACATATTGTTGCTCTTCCAAGTATTAGTGGGATGTAAATACCCTCTTGTAGTTTTCACATAGTGAATTCCTGATCTCAGCCAAATGAAAAGCAGGCACATTGACATGAAGGGAAAGTGAACATCTAAGAGAAAGAATCAGCTGAAGCCATAGCTCCCGCAGATCCTCGCAGATAGTTGAAGTGTAGCTTTGCAGAAAAATAGGGCAAATTTTACAGTTAACTTCATAATTGGGATGTGATGTATATTCTAACCAGATCCAAAGTAAAGTTAAAAATGAATAAAAACTAGTCAATATGAATTAATAGATTCATATATTTTGGAAAAGGAATGTGACAATAAAAAAATCAAATTTTCAAAGCGGTTTGATTCGAAGAAGCAGAATAACCAGAGCTCTGGCCTGATCTCAAGCATTGATTTTTAATTCTGTTTAACTGATTGTTCACTATAGTGAGAACAGCCATTAATCCATAAGTGAATTTATCAATAACACAATATTATCTACAAAAGAAATCACTACAGTTCTTGCAGAAATGCCCAAACTCTGCAATCCAATCCACTGTCATGCAATCTCATTCAACACAACTTCCTAAATAGATATGGAAGGAGATGGGTGACATTGCACAACTACTGTAGTGTCAGTTCACCAAAAATCTCATAAAGGTTGCTAAAAATAACAAGTAGTTTTTCATGAATCTTATTACAGTCCAGAATTGTATATTAAACTACACCTGCTCCACGCAAGAGCGAAATGTAACCTGTTGTCTTACAGATTGTTCCCTGAATCTCTAAAACAAATGCTGCAACAGCCAGAAGGACCACCTTAAGAGGTAGCAACATTCATGAAATTCCTCAGTAGCTATTGGGAAATTATATGCTTTTGTATATTAACATAATCCATTGATCCTACTTCATCTCCCAGATAACCTCCTGACCTCACCGCATTGCTTCAAGTTGCTACTTTTGCAGCATCTTGTGACTGCTCTGAAGAGGCAAGAATCACTTTAAAGGTCCTTCTCTTCCCCTCCAGTTATCTAACATTAATTCTGCCTAGTGGATGAGCAGTTAATAGGTTCTGGATTGAGTTTCTTTATGACTTAATTCATAGAGGCAGGAAAATAATTAGCTGCAACATTTGCCATCTGGTCAACCGTATGAGCAATCAGGGAGATCTAGACACAGGCTTTCTGGTCAGTAGTATCCTTGCAGTTTACCACCTTGACTCATTTCTCATCTCACAGTGACCATCAATTATATAATTTTTTATTATTGAAGTGTCTGAGGAGTCAGTTTATTGGGATGTGATGCTAAATGAAAAGCACAGAAAGAATAGTGAAGGTTCTCTTAAAAGAAACGGTTGAAACCTTGCTGAATACTTGATTTCAGAAGAAGGGTCTGGACCCAAAATGTCAGCTTTCCTGCTCCTCTGATGCTGCTTGGCCTGCTGTGTTCATCCAGCTCTACACCTTGTTATCTCAGATTCTCCAGCATCAGCAGTTCCCACTATCTCACAATACTTGCATATCTGAGCACAGCCTGAGTCCATCTAATATTTTATACACGATATCCAGTTAGTGCAATTCAGATGTTTGTTCATTCTGTGTCCTCTGATACACTACAACGTTTATTCTATAGAATGTTTTATAAGATTCCATTTCTAACAAGAGAGAATCTAACCATTGCCTATTAACATTTAATGGCATTCCCATCACTGAATCCCTCCCTATCAACACTCTGGAAGTACCGGGTTCACCAAAAATCTCATGAAGGTTGCTGAAAGTAACACATAGTTTTTCATGAATCTCATGACAGTCCAGAATTGTATACCACATCCACAAAAACCATTCACTCCCTTCACCTCCGACACTCAGTAGTAACAGTGTGTACAATCTATATGATGCACTGCAGAAATCCACCAAAATTCCTTAGGCAGCACCTTCCACACCGTGAGCTCCTTCCGTCTAGATGGACAAAGGCCTCAGCTATTGTACATGGGAATTCTACCACCTGCAAATTCCTCTCCAAGCCACTCGCTATCCTGACTTGGAAATATATTGCTTCTCTATCAGTGTTGCTGGATTAAAATCCTGAATTTAATATTATTGTGGATCTACCTATAGCACATGGACTGCAGCAGTTCAAGAAGGCAGCTCAGCACCACCTTCTCAAGGGCTTTTAGGGATGGACAATAAATGCTGGCCTGCCCAGTGATGCCCACTCCCATGAATGAATTTTTTAAAATGAAAATTCATAGTATCATTATTATGTCAATTAATTTGACAGCTCAGGCTAGAATATTTACTTTTGGTGAATAAGGTAAAATTAAGTTATTCTGCTCTATTTTGTTTTTACACCGAGAGGAACAACCTCTGCTTCCACTGAATTACTGAGGTTTCAATGAATTTGAAATGCTAGCCACACCCGCATGGTGGACTGACAGATCTGAAGTTAAACGAACATACCTTTTAAAGAGGGAAACAGATGGGTAGGAATCACCTAGCCCATCTTCTCATATTTCCTTGTGGCTAGCTCAGGGATAGGATAGTATAACAACTGGGTGCAGGCAGTCTATATGCCATCTGGAGAGGAAGGGCATGCCAAATAAGGGAAAGACACTGTCATTTTTTTTCACATTATTCTTTCACAGGTTTGGGTGTCTCTGTCTAGTCCTGCAGTTGCTGCCTATCCCTAATCTTCAGCAAGGAATGCTGAGTCAGTGATCCATCTCTGCCTCCTTTTGAGGTCCCCAGCATCACAAATACTAGTTTTTAACCAGTTTGATTCACTCCCCTTTGATATCAAACTGTTAAACACAATGGATATATTAAAGGATATAGATTCTGAGCATCACTGTTGTAGTACTGATGACTTGGGCTCTAGAACCAGCCCTGCTCCTAGCCAATCTGTTCCACTACAATACTGGCATCAGTTCTACAATGTAGAAAATTACCTATGGATCTCTCGTCCACAAAAAACAGACAATGCAACACGGCCAATTACTAATCCATCAGTCTATTCTCAATCATGAGCAACGTGATGGATGGCTTTCTTGACCGTGTTATTGCTGACACTTACTGAACAAGAACTTGTTCACTGATTCTCCATATGAGCTCTGTCAAGGTCACTCGGCTCCGGATCTATATACAGTTTGGCATTAACATGGACAGTAGACCTGAATTCCAGAAGTCAGATGAGAGTGACTGCCCTTAACATTTGACCAAGTGGCATCAAGCAACAAAAATTGAAGTCAATGGGAATTGGGAAGGAAATTCTGCAGTGCTTGAAGCTGTATGCAGATTGTTGGAGGCCAACCCTCTCAGTCCCAGGGCAACATTGGAGGAGTTTTAAATTTTAATTCTATGCAACTTCATCTAAGGACAGATAACAAGTAGAGTTTGGACCTAGAATTGTGCATCAATATGCAAATACATTAGTCACAAAAATTGCTCCTTCATGATACTTATGATATTTGTGAAACTTAAAATCAGTGCAAACCTATGAAAATTCACCCCACTATCTTTCCTGTGGAACCTCAAGTTGATTCTTAAATGATCCAGGTGCCCTAACTGTAGTTAGCTTTTCTGTTGTTCTGGCTATTAATCAGGGTAAAAATGACTTCCTTAAAGCTGTCCTAGATGTCTTTTCATACCTCTGAACCTGTCCCCTCTTGTGCTACTGTTCTGTTCCATTGACAAGTATTGTTTCAGGCTTGCATTTTCTACCAATTTAAGTATGTTATGCTTTTATATGTCTTTTACCAGCATTTATAATGTTGTTTGTTCTTAACATTCATCCTTTGTTTTCTGCAGGATTATTTACAGTTCTCAAAGTACAATGCATTTAAATTATGACTGCTGGTTTGATCCAGAAATTACAGAAAATGCCTAAATAATCATCAAATGTTTCCTAGTAACCTTGTTGCCTACTGACCAGGAAATTTAAAGCAACCATGCTTACACTGACATATATGATTACAGTTATGGAATCAATGGTTCCTTACTATTTTGAAATAATATCGTAGTGTTTACAGCATTGTGTCCAGTACTGCATCGCAGTGATCTACACTAAATTCACCTCACTTGTAATTTCTCAGCTTTCTCACACATCCACCAACTTCCCTAACTATTCTGGAGGCGTTATCTCTTGTTGAAGCCTAGTTTTCCAAATGATTTAACTGATTTTTTTTTTTTGCTTTTAATCAGGTGACTGTGGATGATTGCAAGGAGATTGTTGCGGTATGCAAGGAGAATAATGTGATACTTGCAGTCTGCCATGTACTGAGATACTCCCCACCAATTCTGAAGATACAAGTAAGTTTATCTGAAAGCTGAGATCAAGCATAACTTCAAGCATAACTTTGAGCATTGAAATATTGAGGTCTAGATCTAATAGAAATTGTCAACCAACGAAGAGTCTTAATGACCTGCATTTTCCAATGGCCAGACAATCATTATCCCACCATAGATGGGAAATGCTGCAACATCTCCATCACGGTCCAAAAGAGTTATCCATGGAATTGGTGACATTTGTGATGTTTGAAATTTAGCTATAGAACAAACTTAATCTTTTATTATTCAAAAGCTTCTAAACTAAATTTTAAAATTATACGATGAATTTCTGAACTTGGTGATTGGAAGTTGTAGTTACAAAATATATTTTTGTCATCAAATGATGCTATGGTACCATATAAATGTCTTTGTTTATTTTCCCCTTTTTTCTAGTGCAATATACTCAATCAGTATTGCACCATGTGTGTCACATTGCTTAATCCATGTCACTCTTCTGTGTCATTTATTGTTCATTCTGACTCGTGATATTGTTCAACCGCGTAGTAATAGTCTGCTATTCATTGCATAAAACTGTCCTTTATTAATTGTTTTGACTGTAGCACTCTTACTTTCATTAGAATTGTATTAATGCATTTATGCTAATAGTAAGTCATTTCAAACAATATAATTTATAGTTTCAAGAGGAGAAAATAAGAGAGATTTGAGCAGCTTTGATTAAAAATATTTCACAAAACTTTTCAGAAAGGGGATTCCTACAAGATAATTCTTACCTGTTAGATAAGAAACTTTTACTAAACTTTCTTTCTTTCACATTATGTATCTGTTTCTGGCTAGTCCAACAATTTATGCCATTCCTAATTGCTGTTGAAAGAATGGTGATGATTTGTTACCTTGAACCACTGCAGTCCATTTGATAAAGGTATATCATCGTGTGGTTAGGATTTTGAAACATACTTCCTTAGGTGGACCAGTATGTAATTGATGAGCAATGTACTTGTAGATATGGACTATGAGAAGGAATTTTCTTCTAGAATACATCAGTTGACCATGCCACGCTGAAGGTGAAGACGGAGTAGTTACTATCTGTGAGTCGGCAACTCCATGCTGTTAGTTGACTGATGGGAGAGTTGGAAGTCTGTTGACCAGTACTGGGGCAGAAATGGAGATGGGACTAAAAAGTGCAACTCTGTTTTAAAGACACACAGCAGTCAAATCTGTCTACCAGCGAAAATGCAGGCACTAGGGATTGATAAAGAAAACTAGAATATTGACTCCCAGGGCACAGCAGCCTCTCACATTTCCCCAGTGTAAAACTGAAGGTCCTTCTGGAAGTAGTGAGCATGAGGGTGGAAGTTCTCTTTCTGGACTGTGGAAGAAGGCCACTTGCAAACATGGCTGCAGATTGTTGAGATCACTAGCAGCTTGAGTGTAGTCCGGAGGAACAGGTTCATGTGCTGGAAAAGATTCAGTAGCCTGATTGTCTCTGGCAAGGTGAGTGCAATGCCAGATTCTAAAGACAGGCTTTTGGGATGTACTTAGACACGCAGCAACAGATAAATTCCCAAATGAGACACTGACTAGTTGAATGTTGATGTAGTGGAAGTGTTACTTTGTTCACAAATCTCACTGATCAGCAAGTTGATAGCCACATTGATTATATCAATGATTCTGTGTATCAGGTGTCCAGCAAAGGATGCAACACACTACCTTCTGTGTCTGTGAAGTCCCAGCTGTCACAAACTGTATACTAGGTTCAGATCTCTCAACTAAAGCATCAAGTGACCTGCAAGATGCTAATCTGTATGCATACTTTTTCCTTCATCTCCCTTCTGCTCCTAAGTTGTCTGCAAGCTACATAAAACATTGAACATCGAACTGCACAGCACAGGAACGGGCCCTTTGTCCCACAATGTTGTGCTGAACATGATGCCAAATGAAACTAATCCCTTCTGCCTGCCCTTGGTCCATTTCCTTCCATTCCTTGCATATTCATGTGCTTATCTAAAAGTCCATTAAATGCTGTTATTGTATCTGTCTCCACCACCATCCTGGCAGTGCATTCCAGACTCCTACCACTCTGTGTAAAAAAAATACTTGCCCCTCACATCTCCTTTAAACTTTCCCCCTCTAACCTTAAATGCATGCCCTCTAGTTTTAGATATTTCAACTCCAGGAAAAAGATTCTGACTGTCAATCTGTTTATTTTCTTTTAACTCCATTCATATGATTCTGTTTTTATCTTGCTGATTGTTGTTCCTTTTTTCTTTGGCTACCTTTATCATGGATATGCAGAATTACTCCCTGTTTTCCCCCCATATTATTTTAAAATTTTTAATATTCTGCAATGCTTAATTCCTTGTCCTGATATTTCAGAGTTATGTTTCTGTAATCCCTACTATGTCTATGTCCTTCTGCCACATCATTGTTTTCAGCTCCCCTGTTTTATTGTGAACACTGTGCATTGCTGGAAAGATATTTTAACTCATTTGAATAGAATTTTCACTGAGTCTGTTTATTAATCTTTTTAATCTTTAAGTAACCCATTCTATAACTCTATTTATTCCCTAGCATCAATCCTCTCTTGCTTTATTAATTTCTATGTTCTCCTGACATGTTGTGTTTATTATCAGGCTGTTGATTTTTTTGTAGGTCCCTTCCCTCTCCTTCCTACACTAAAACCTTAGCTACCTCCCTATTTACTCTTTCCACCAGAACGTGTACAGGTGGACTTCATCCCGATGGGTATAGGTCCTTCCTTTCCCAAAATTGTGCTGCCAGTGTCCCATGAAAGTAAACCCTTCTGTTCCACATAACTCCTTTAGTAACATGTAAATTCTCCTGATCTATCAGCTCCTATGCTAATTTACACATGGCTCAGGCAATGAATAACCCAAAGATTATTACTGTTAAGATATTGCTTTTTAACGTTGAATTATATTCCTGAAACTCTTTCAGCAGGACCTCCTCTTAGTTCCTAATGTCATTTGTTCCAACATGAATCATGGTAACTGGATTTAATGCCTCCCTTTCCAAGTGTCTCTCCAGCCATCATGTAATAACCCGTACCTTGGCATTGGGCAGGCCACACATCGCCAGCATTCTCGTTCATCACTACAAAGAATGCTATCTATCCCCCTAATTATTGAGTCCCTGACAACTACCATGTCTCTAGCCTGTTGTTCATGCGCCTCCCACACTGAACAGCCTTTTGGACCAAGGTGCCTTGATCTGTATAATGGTCATCTATGCAGACTTTTTCCTTCTCCCCACAGGTAATAAGTATTTTATCCCTGTTGGACAGGATCAATATTTATGGGACTTCTTTCTCAATCTTTCCTAAAACGTCATCTGACTCCTTATCAGACATACCCCCTCTTTCCTTAGCCTGTGTGACCAAATTTCAGTTAAAATTGTCCCTCCTATTCACACAAATTTGCTGACTGAGTCTGAGAGATTTGAAATGGAGATGTGTGCTTGCTTATGACAACTCCAAAGACTCCCATATATTACAGTACAGATATAGTGTGGGTGTCAAGTCATATTCGCCAGACCGTGTATATGTGGCATATTTATTTTTTAAGTTGTACGTTTTACTTTCTTCTATAATTGAAAGTATAACTACTTTGATGCAGTGCACCAATTAGCAGCAAAGCTTGAAGTGAATGCCAGTGTGTATTCTTTATGTCTCCTGTTTAAAAGTGTTACAGCTCTATCATAATTGCAGTTACTGAAATGAACCACTTTTATTGGTATCCAGCTGTGCATTGTGATTCATTCTGTGAACTACAAGAGACAAACATCTTCTAATGTGGTAATGTGAACAACAATTCAGCAGATATACTTCCCCTCCCCCATTCAGTGTGGCCTAGCCCAGTCTATCACCTCCATATGACCTCCTTCCAGAGGACACTGAGTGGCGCAGGCTAGCACAGTTTCTATGGCCACCCTCAGAAGCATTTGATAATCAGTTGAATGTCAATCGTCAGAGAAGTACTTGTGACTGAATGAAGCTAAACGATGTATGGCATGGCTCAGATGTGGAAAGAATTCCTCTTTCTGTTTCTCTTCCAGTACTACTTAATTCCTTTCAGCACATCGGAGATCAGGAAGCAGAGTTCAAATTTAGTACGCTTTTTATCAGAATTTCTAGATCAGATCCCCATTATATAAATTATTCCCTTCCCATATTTTAACATTTATATTTCTTTCCTCCTAAAGCAGGGAATCATAACTGTATGGGACAGCAGGAATGGACCAGATGGTCTTCCACTGTTTGAAATGATTGTATGTTTTGAATATTTGTGGGAAAAACGTGCCTTTCATGTAAAAACAAACATTATTGAGGGAAATATAAGAAATTGCAGATGCTGAACTAGGTGAGGAGTTCCATCAAGATAACTGAAAGCATATTTTACAGGATTAGTTGTAAGAATACTTTCAAAGCTGCGAGAGATTGCATTTAGATCTGATTCATCCTGAGTAAGTAAATAGGGGCTGGAGTCATTATCAGTGAAGTAGCAAATGGTGGTTTGAGTCATAGTTCTTCTCTTCTGCTCTCAGTGGCTCATGAGAAACCCATTTCTTTCATTAAAACAAATGCAAAATACTGGGAATACTGCAGTAACTCAGCATCTGTGAATAGAGACTGTTCCAAAAAAAATGTCATATTGCGTTCAACATTAACTGTGTTTGTTTCTCCACAGATGCTGCCAGACCTACTGAGTTTCTCCAGCACCTTCCGATTCTACTTTTACTTTACACGCTACAATTGCCATAAAAATACTTTATTACATAAACAGTTCGTCATACTAATTCTCCATTTCCAAAAATAAGTGGATGCTAGTCTAGTATTTAGAGAGCATGGGTAAGATTTTCCCTTTGTTGTTGGGACCTTTGGACAATAAACAGGACCCAAAACCATAACCCTCAGCATGTTTCAAATACATCCATTAAAGGATGCCAATAACAAATTACCCTTTTGGGTGTTTTCATCAATATCGCTTGTCTGAGTTGGTATTTGG